CACATATAATACAGACTTGCTCTTCGTGTTCCTTGTCATATCTCACTGCCCTCCTGTCCAGCCCCAGTTCACCTAAGCAGGGAACAAATAATATTCACCAGTGTCTATGTAGAATAAAGCATCACCCATTTTCATTCATTGACTAGTAGAAGCAGTATCTTTTTTTGTCCACTGTAAGAAAAGTTGTTTCTGTTAACAAAAAAGGAAAGTAAATTACTTATTGCAGAAAAGTCACACTATCGGAAAAGTGTAAAGAAGGTACCAAAGCATAGCTTGCAATTCTACCATCTGGAGGTGACCACTGTTCACATCACATGTGTCCATCTGTGCCTCTGCATGCTAACAGTGACTGGATACAATTATGATTCTTTTTACAGTTTTGTTTAAATGAACTCATTCAAACACACTGTTCCAGTTGATCCTTTTAAATAGATTTGTTGTTTGGTAACCTGCTTTTTGATTAAATAATATTCATATTTTTTTCTTTTCTTAAGGCAATGTTTCTTTTTTTAAACTTTTATTTAGTAAATATAATTTTCCAAAGCACAGTTTATGGATTACAATGGCTTCTCCCCCCCATAACTTTCCTCCCACCTGCACACCCTCCCATCTCCTGCTCCCTCTCCCTTTCCATTCACATCAAGATTCATTTTCAATTATCTTTATATACAGAAGATCAATTCAGTATATATTAAGTAAAGATTTCAACAGTTTGCACCCACACAGAAACACAAAGTGTAAAGTACTGTTTGAGTACTAGTTCATACTAATGTGTTAACAAATTGAGATTTATATCGCTTTAAATTTTTTGTAGATTTTTATTTGAGAAGCAGAGAGACAGATAGTTACAGTGCTTCCAGCTGTTAAGTCGCTGCCTAAATGCCTGCAATGATATTTATCCTATACACTTGTGTTGTTGGGAAATGATTATAAGATTATCAATTCACAAATATAAAGTCTCTGACAATAATTTAAAAATAATAAATTAAGAATATAAGTTCCCCAGCAACATCTATTTATGAATTCATTGAATAAATATTCACCAAAGTCCTACAATGTCCTAAGTACCATGTTGGAAGATAACTTTCAGATTAAAAGGGTAGGTAGGCCTGCTTTTTATACTTTAGGATACAGCAAAATCATAGACTATGAAAACAATATGGCCTTAATATTTTTGATGGATTTTTGTGTGGAGGAGACAGTGACAATTTTGTTTGTGTAAAACAGCAATGGCTGATGTATATGATGAGAACTTTATAAATGTTTTATATCTTTTTTTTTTGACAGGCAGAGTGGACAGTGAAAGAGAGAGACAGAGAGAAAGGTCTTCCTTTTTGCTGTTGGTTCACCCTCCAATGGCCGCCGCTGCCGGTGCGCTGCAGCCGGTGCACCGCGCTGATCCGATGGCAGGAGCCAGGTGCTTTTCCTGGTCTCCCATGGGGTGCAGGGCCCAAGCACTTGGGCCATCCTCCACTGCACTCCCTGGCCACAGCAGAGAGCTGGCCTGGAAGAGGGGCAACCGGGACAGAATCCGGCGCCCTGACCGGGACTAGAATCTGGTGTGCCGGTGCTGCAAGGCGGAGGATTAGCCTAGTGAGCCGCGGCGCCGGCCATGTTTTATCTCTTGAGCATATTTTTTTGTTTCCCTTCTTTCTTAATATTTTCATCTGTTTCTTTTTGTAGTTTTTGGAAGTTGTAATTTCTTGATAAAAAACATTACTCATTTTTTTAAAATACTTATTTCAATCGTTAACACAAGGGGTCTTCCAAAAGTTCATGGAAATGTGAATTCTGAAAAAAACTATGATTTCAAAATTTTTGTGCCAAAATAATCTTATAATTCCATTTCCATGAACTTTTTGAAGTCTCTCCTGTATTTGAATGAAAATTAGGTCTGAATATGTAATAATGAGAGATGTTGGGAAATAAGAGATGTTGGGATTTGAAACATAGATTGTGTTTTCTGGTTCACTCGTTTAATAATGGCTAATACAATTTTGAAGTGAAATTTCCAATATTGAAAAGGATGAACACAGTAAGCATCAAAGAAAACAGTGGACTAAAGTACAAAAGATTCATCCAATAATGTAATTGTTAGAAGCGGTCATCCTTAAGCCTGAGGTGGGGAGCACACGTGGTTTGAAGTTAAAAATGATTTTCATACACTTTTCAGAACTGTTTAGACTGCTTAATATTTCTTATAGGAATTACAAATGGATCTCCTAAAAGGGTACAAAATGAGTAAAACAGATTATCAAAATCTAAATAGGTTGTTCAAAGAGAGCCTGTATCCTGACCCACATTTTAAACTTTAAGTGCTAAATTGTGTATTTCAAATAGCAATATTAGTATGTCCCCAAGGTAATTAAAAATCCATTCTCAGTATGTGTCTGATATCTTTTCGGGTTTTGCAAGAATAGACACAATAGCCTTAAAAGTTAGAATTTTAGAGTTGCTTTTTTTTTCCTTTTAGTGAAATCATAAAGTAAGAGGCTCTTTTTTCTTGTGCCTTGTAGGAGGTACACATTTTGTCTTGTCGGGGGTACTGTGGTGGTGGCAGAGGGTCCTTGGGAGCCTTTTCCACCCACACTAAATTCCTGCCATAGCTGCCTGCTGATTGTCAAATATATTTATTTTGATCTGTGCTGTCCAGTAGGACTTTCTGTAAAGACGGAACTCTGCTGTAATCTGTGCGATCCCTTGTCAGGAGGCACATGGGCTGTGAGCACTCAGAATGTGCCTGCTGCCACCAAGGAAGGGGTTTTAAATATGATTGAATTTGTAAAAAGATTCATTTTATTTATTTGAAAGGCAGAGTTACAGAGAGAGAGGGAGGGGCAGAGATCTTCAACTACTGGTTCACTCCCCCAATGGCCGCAACAGCGCAAGGAGCCAGGAGCTTCTTCCTGCTCTCTCACATGGGTGCAGGGGCCTCAGTACTTGGGCCATCCTCCACTGCTTTCCCAGGCACATTAGCAGGGAGCTGGATTGGAAGTGGGGCAGCAGGGACATTAACTGGTGCCCATATGGGATGCCAGTGTCACAGGCAGCGGCTTAACCCACTGTGCCACAACGAAGGCCCCAAATGTTATTGAATTTTAATCGATTTAAGTTACAGCAGCATCATGTGGCTAGTGGTTACGCTATTGAACAGCACAGAACTTCTTTCCACTTTGAGATGTAGGAAGGACACACCCCTGGAAAAGCTGACTTTAAGGTACATGGGGTCATCCGACATAGTTCACACACACTGTTTGAGCACCTAGTGCATCTGTGGCCCTGGTAACAGAAACGTCCCCTGTGAATTTCATGAATCAGAAGGGCCTTGGTAGTGGGGTCGCTGCTGTTTGGGCGGGAGCTGCCTCTTTGACCCGGTGCTCTGGGGGCCTGCTGTGGCAGGGCCATTGTCTACCTGGCTGAGGGGGAAGTAGGGACTTCTCTCACCTGGCTGTGACCTCTGGCATGCTCAGGGCTGTGTGTTGGGAGCGAGGGGTGCTTATTTGAAATTCTGGTAAAGACATCTCCTGAGCTCACATGGGAGCTGGGAGGCATCCTGCATCAAAGTGCAGCAGAGACTGGGATCGAGGCACTCCCCATATGTGGTGTGATGTGGGTGTCCTAAGTGGTATCTTAATGACCGTGCCAAACGCCTGCCCTATATTACATCATTATTAACCCTAGTCACCATCCTTTACATCAGGTTTTCACAATTTATTCATCTTAGAGCTTCGGGTTTACACTCTTTGACCAGTATCTCCCACTTTCCATCCCCCTGATGGAACCTGATGATAATCATCCTTCTACTCTCTGTTTCTGTAAATGAGATGAAGGAGTATTTGTATTCCTGTGCCTGGCATATTTCACTTTCACTTAGCATAATGTCCTCCAGGTTCATCCATGCTATCACAAATGGCTGATTTGCCTTCTTTTTTATGGTTGAATAATATTCTATTACTACTACTACTACTACTACTACACACACACACACACACACCACCGTTTCTTTATCCTTTTATCTATTACCGACACTTGTTTCTATATCTTGGATTTTGTGAATAATACTGTGGTGAACATGAGATTGCAGATATCTCTTCAAGATAATGATTTTATTTTCCTTAGAAATCTACTAAGACATAGGATTGTTGGATCGTATGATAGTTCAGTTTTTAAAGTTTTTTAGGAACCTCCATACTATTTTCCATAATGGCTGCACCAATTTACAAAATGACCAATAATGTATAAGGGTTCTCTCTTCTACATATCCTCATCTATACTTATCTTTTGACTTTTTGGTAATAGCCATCTGTATTAGTCAGCCTTTCATTACTATAAAGAAATGCCTGAGACAGGCTAACTTTATAAAGATAAGTGACTTATTTTGGCTCATGGTCCAGGACTGAGTGAGCTCCATTAATTTAGCATCTGGTAATGAGCTTCTTGCTAGCAGAGTCCCAAGGAAGCACATGACATCACATGGCAAGAGACAGGGAGTGAGTGTGTCAGTCTGTGTCTCTACATCCATGTGGTTGAATCATGGGGCTCCACCCTCACAACCTGATCCCATCCAATTATTTACCAAAGCCCTACTTCTCAACACCATTAATTGGATTATATTTCCACCCTCTCAGTGCTATTAATGTAAGACCTTGAAGACTAAACTCCTGGGTTCTGTGGGACAAATACTCAAACTATAGAGCTATCTGAATAGGTAGGAGGTGATATCACATTGTTGTTTTGATTTGCATTTCTCTGATGATTAGTAATGTCGAATACTTTTTCATATAGCTGTTGATTCAAACTGGAGTAGGAGAAAATATTCGCAAACCATATGACAATAAGAGGTTCCAATTTTAGTATATATGCTCCTGAAACAGACACATAATAAGGAGTTAATGTCTAGAATATATAAGGAACTCATACAATTTGATAGAAGTCCCCCTCACAAGAAAAAACTAATTAAATTTTTGAAGGACCTAGTTTTTACTTTGATTTTTTCAAAGGTGTCTTACCTCCTGGAAGGGGGCAGCATGGCCCATGAAGACTTCTGTGGACACTTTGGGACATTGAACCCCGGAGATCTGCAGGTATGACCAAGGACAAGGAATTGCTGATTGTAGTCGCATTCGGATGTGCATGCTTGATCCCACCCATTTCGAGGCTTCTGCCTTCCCTCCATTATGTCTTTGACCACTCCCTTTCTCTGGCTCTATCCACTCAGCCTGGAAACCTGCACAGGTCTCTCATATTCCGATCTCATACTTTTCCTGACCCTTAATCACTTTCTAGCGCTCACTGTATCGACTTCCTTCTCTTCCATTTTGTCCTCCATTCACTGAAATCAAGGCGGGCCTCTCAGCACTCTCCCTCCAAAGCTTCACTGAAGCTGTTCAGGCAGTGACCAGTCCTGACGTCCCAGTTGCCAGATTCAGGGACTGCCTCAGGACTCATCTTTCCGGACCTGTGTGCTGCATTTTAGATAATTTGCTTCCAGCTGATTTGCAGAGTTAGATGTTCTCACTTAAGACAAAGACTCAATCCCTCCACCATCCTAGTCTTGTCGGAGATGTGTTACGGTTAAAATCCCCAGGAAACACTTGGGTTTTTGCCAATTTGGTAAGTCTGAACTCTGTATCAGGAACTTTTTGGAGTCACATACACACACACGCACACACACACACACGATGACTGAGGGTGACCTGAGCATGGACGTGATGACTCCTGCCATCTGCACGATCAGGCCGCGAGTGCAGCTTTCCCCATGTGGAGCTGCGCACCGTATCTTGTACCATATAACTGAACATTTGGTCAGGATAATGATTGTGCAGTGTCTTTTAGTTAATGTAGCACCTTCACATCGCATGTCTCTTTGAAATAAGTGTTATGTTTTTATCTCATTTTAAAAATGAGGGACTGGAGATTTAAAGGTTAAAACAAAATACCCATAGCCTCAGAATGAGTAGATGGTGATTATGGAACTAGAACCCTGTTCTCTCCCTCCGAATCCAATGGGTGGGCCATTTTAATAATGATAGGAGGATACTTCAGAAAGTGTATAGAAAATGGAATTAAAAGATGATTTTATTTTGATGCCAGTTTTTTGAAATCCATGTATAGTTTTTGCATTATATGCCATCTCCATGAACTTTTTGAAGATATGTATTGTCAAACTAGGGTATATCTAAAAAGGATAACTGAGGTATTGTTGATACAGAGAGATGAGCTGTTAACACAACAGGAAAATGCTTAAAAATGGGAGAATGTCCTTGAAGAACAGCAGTAGCTGTTTTCAGATAGAAGACGTGCAGCAGGCCGAGCTACTTTATATTGCATTAGAATGAGGGTTGGCAAATTCTTTTCTATAATGGCAAGAGAGTAAATATCAGGTTTCGCAGGCTACATGGACTCGGCTGAAACTACTCAACTCTGCCATTGTAGCATGAAAGCAGCTGTAGACAGCATGTCAGTGAATGGGTATAGCTCTGTGTCAGTAAATCCTTTTTGTCTTTTTAATTTTTTATTAGTAATAATTGTGTCTATCTATGGAGTACAGCATGGCATTGCAGTACATGTGTGTGAAATGTGCCGGTGAAATCATGGTAATCAACATTTTCTAGGTTTGTCAGCAGACCTTTACCAAAACAAGTAACAGGCTAGATTTGGCCCTTGGACTATAGTTTGCCAACCCCTACATTAGAAAGTGTAATCAGTCTTATCAAATGGAAGATAGAGGGAACTCTATTTAGACTTCGTGAATGAAAGAAATCTCTAGAATGTGCCTTCTTTCAGATCCTTGAACAAATAATGTTCATTTTTATCCCAGAGCCTTTTTCAAATGTTGTTCACTCTGTATGGACTCTTCTTCCTTTGCTCAGTTCCTACTCTTTGAGTCTCAGTGCAAATGGTGCACCCTTGGGTAGGCTGCTTTGAAATTGGCAGGCTTCTTCGTGTGACGCCAAGCACAATCACAGTGTCAGTCCTTATTTTGTGTAAGGATTTTTCTCCCCATGAGGACTGTGCAGCAAATGTCAGTGGCCTGACTCGTGACCCCGTGGCCCACCTCTCATGGACCTGCTGCTGCTCTGGTTGAGGGCTTTCTCCAGCCCACATATTGGGCAGCCCGGCTGTGCTGGGATTTAGTACCCCCAGGGGAACTCGGTCAGTAAGAGATGGAAATTGGAGCCTAAATATCCTAAGTTTCCCCTCTTCTCCAATCAACAATTCTAAAGTGTGTCCATGTGGTTCCCAGTGGGATTGAGCCACAGGTGCTCATGGATGTAACCTGCTATGAACACCCCTCTTTGACCTTCTCCCTTGCCTAACTCACTCTGATCCCTCCCTTGTGCTTTCTGCATCACTTTCCAAGTAAGCCACCTGCAGGTTAGTCCTTGTTCCGGGACCTTCTGTGGGAGAACTCAAGGTAAGGCAAGCAGGGGGCATACCTATCATGTTTCATATCTTCATTCCCAGATTTGGAGATTAGTGTCTGGGGTTCACAAAACAGTAAGTAAACATTTGAAGAACCTGCACAAGTATGGGCATTAACTAGTTCTCAAGTAGTGAGGGCTCCAGCACTAGAACTGAGCAGGCAGAGGTGCACGTCAACCATCTACAGTGCCTTGGATCCTAGGGGCTTCTACATGTATATTAAGACACACACTTGTATCCTCAGCTGCTGGGAATGCTGGCTCTGGTGGCTCACTGCTGCCTACCTCCCTGGGAACTGTCCTGGGGAGCAGACAGTTGCCTCTCCTAAGGTTTTGCTTCCTACTTGGGGGTGGCCCACAGTTAGCGATTTGCTGATGTGGAGATAGGAAGCATGGTCATCTTGCCTCAAGCTGGGATAATTCTGAAGGTTCATCCCAACTCCAGAGCTCCCTGTTGGATTGGCTGATTCTGTTGTGACAGCTTTGCTGCTTGGCTTATCCCCTTGTTTTATATGTTTTTTTCTTCACTTTCTAAGTTTTGTTTTTCAAGACGATGACATATTAACTGTCTGACTCTCATCTCAGAGCTTGGTCTAAGACTCAAGGATATCAAAGGGGTTTTTTCTGTTTTCAAGAATTATGTTGCTAATGCATTTATTTCAAATAAGGAAGCTTGGGAAGCATTTGGAAAAGTAAAAAGGGCTCCAGCAGTTGTCATTGGTGTTTATTATTTCTGTAGATGCCCAGGGATTCCAACAGCAGCACCTGTAAGATGCCCTTGTTAGTGATGGTGTTGTAGTTGTCCTGACTTATTAGGAACTAGATTACACATCAAACATCTTTCATTTATTTATTTGAGAAAGAATGCTTCCATTCACTGGTTCACTCCATAAATGCCTACAAGGGCCCCCAACTGGGGCCAAATCAAGGAACCTGGAACTTAAGCCTTTCCCATGTGGGTGACAGGGACTCAGCTATTCAGGCCATCACCTGCTGCCTCCCAGGGTGCATATTAACAGGAAGCTGGAACAGCGAGGAGCCAGGCACTTTGATGTGGGACATGGGTGTCCCAAGCGCCACCTTAACCGCTAGGCCCAATGCCTACCCTTGGATTACAATGTTCTTCTTGGTTTGGTGTTTGCAGTGGATGACGGCGGGCCGGGGTATTCTGCATGCTGAGATGCCTTGCTCGGAGGAGCCAGCGCATGGCTTGCAACTGTGGGTTAATTTGAGGAGCTCTGAGAAGATGGTGGAGCCTCAGTACCAAGAACTGAAAAATGAAGATATCCCTAAACCCAGTAAGGATGGTGTGACCGTTGCTGTCATTTCTGGAGAAGCCCTGGGAATAAAGGTCAGCCATGTTGTCATGTGTCTCTGAAATCTGAGGTGTGCGGTGACATAAGGCTGGCCCCCTCTGGGCCGTCAGCTCTCACCGGGTATGTCATTGTTCATGCCCCACGGGATGGGTGTCAGAATAAGTGCAACCAGAGGGAACCCAGAGATTTGTTTCTGCATGCAAAACCATAGTATTAGGTAAAGGACAAGAAAGGAAGCTCCTGGAAAGAATTTGGTCAAAAAGCCACTTTGAAGCCATGCCTCACTATCTTACATATTTAGCCTAGTTGCTTTCTTTCACTTACAGTGCAGTTTTATGCTTTGAGTTATGGCTCCTTGGTACTGCAAGATTGCCACCTTTAAGAAACAAACAAAAAGCAAGACCAACTCCACTCAGCAAAGATTATGTGTTCATGCCCGACTTGGTAACGAAAGTGTACTACTGCGTTATAGAAATGAACCTATTTGACCCATTCACAACATGCTGAGACTTCATACTATTTATACTCTTCACGGTTCCATCTTTTTATCAAATAAGATCAATTTCGGTGAAAGATTACCAAAACGTGTGCAAGTATTATGCTAATTGTGCACCAGAACTGCTGCCCGGGAGGCTAGAGAGCCTTATGCCAACCAGGCTGAGGCCAGGCCGAGCTGGGGAGCCTGCCCTCTGAGGTAGGGTTTCCTGGGAGCAGGCATTGAGATGTGGATTCCCATGCAGGCGATTTTTTAGGGAGTGCTCCCAGCGGAACAGTAAAAGGAACCAGGATGAAGTAGGAGAGAGACCGGGCGATGGAGGCATCTCAGGCACAATCCTGAGCAGGTTGGCTTTAACCTCCTCTGGAGGATCAGTGTGCCTCAGACGTTTCAGACGCACACGATGCAAGAGAGCTGAGCTCTCCTGATACCCAGCAGGCATTGGTTATGGCTGTTGGCTTCCGGTTGGCGGGCATAACGCAGTGAAATGGGATCCAAGGGATGTAGGAGCCTTGACACTGGGCAATACACATTGCACCTGGTGTTGAGAGCCTCAGGACATTGGGAGAACTTTACTGTTCTCCCAGGGAACAGTCAGCACTTAAAACTATTTGAGGCTGGCGCCGCGGCTCACTTGGCTAATCCTCTGCCTGTGGTGCCAGCACCCCGGGTTCTAGTCCCCGTTGGGGTGCCGGGTTCTAGTCCCGGTTGCTCCTCTTCCAGTCCAGCTCTCTGCTGTGGCCCGGGAGTGCAGTGGAGGATGGCCCAAGTGCTTGGGTCCCTGCACCTGCGTGGGAGACCAGGAGAAGCACCTGGCTCCTGGCTTCGGATCGGTGCAGCGCACTGGCCGTGGCAGCCGTTTGGGGAGTGAACCAACGGAAGGAAGACCTTTCTCTCGGTCTCTCTCTCACTGTCTATAACTCTACCTGTCAAATTAAAAAAAAAAAAAACTATTTGAAACACAACTTGATATATATGTTATTTTTTCTATGTCCCCATAGGGACAATGGTTTGATGGCAGCTACTGACTGGCTACTCAATGCAACGTGTTACATGCGTGTTAACAGTTTGCTTGTGATTATTGGCTGGGGCTTACCAGAGATTTTGTTTTTCTTACACTGTAAGCACAGTTCTTTGGGTCTAGTATGCCTAGATATATGTATTATTTTGATTTGTGTTTCCAGTGCAAGCAGAAATAACTGGAGGAAAAACATATCACAGATTGCTCCTTATGAAGCACATCTGACGCTGCCCACGTCCCTGTCAGGCCTGCTGTTTACTTTGAAGTTGGAAATGACCCTTTGCTGTAATTTCTGTGACCCATTTCTATTTTCCCAAGCATTGGGCACTGACTGCCCTTCTCTGCTCAGCACCACAAGGAGAGCTCAGGTCCTGGGAGGTCTTCCTGGTGTCAGGCCAAAGGGCATTGCTGGGTGTGGTTTCAGGCGGCGAGGTCTAAGGGGAGCCAAACCAATGCGGATGGGAAGCTGCCCACTGTGTCTCGTGCTGGTTTCCCTTCTGTGTTCCCAGGACTCTGGGGCCCCAGGACCATGCCTTCAAGGGCTACTGAAGTGAAGGGTGGAGGGCAGGAGGTTCCTTTTCCCTTGCAACCCAAGCACAGGACTTGGCCTGCTTGTGTGTTTTGGAATTACCCATATGAATTCGTTTAGAAAAGACTTGAGCTGTCTGCAGCTAAAAGGAGAAATCAGACCAGTGACTTAATAGATAAGCAAAGCCAGCAATATCACGAACCCCTTGAGTTTACAACTGCTTTTCATTTATAGCAAACACAAGGCAATTGTAAGGTTGGAGCCGGTTCCAATTAGAGGCAGAAGGACATTTGAAAGTGCTTTCAAGCAGCAGACCATGTGGCCTTGCAATCAAGGATTAGAGAGCAGAAGTAATGTTTTAACTTTGTAAACCCATGTCTTGGCAGCTGCGGGCCTCTGTTATTTCTTTTTGTCTGGTAAATTCTCTGAAGGGAATTATGTTCTCATAAACAAATTATCAGCCTTTATTAGGAGAGCATTTTCAGGAGAAGTGCCGCTTGGGCGGCCTTAGTTTAGATTTCTAGAGGCAGCATGGTCCCATAGTTACCAGTGTGGACTGGAGACGGGCTACCTGGGTTAGAGTCCCCGCTATGAATTAGCTGTGTGGCCTTGGCCAAGCCACTTAATCTCTCTGTGCCTCAGTTTCCTCATCCATAAAATATTTTGATTTCTATGAGCTTTAAGTGCCTTTTTATGCATTAAGTTCTCAGAACAGCACTGGGCATATTGGAAGAACCCTAGAAGTGGCAGCTGTTGTTACTATTTTGCTTACTTTGTGTTAACTGAGGCAGGAGTTGGGCTGCGTATGCTAAAGGAATTTGTTATGACTTGGGAAAGGCAATTCGCCAGCTCTGAAGAAAGGAGACTAGGATGAGTCACTGTGAAGATGGGCGCCATTGGCCATTTCTTTGTGGGTGTCATGAGAAACATTGTTTTGTACATCTCAAGTCTTAATACCTGCTCACCAAAGAATGACTCGATCTTCAAAGATCTAGGTCTTCCAAGATCTACATCTGCCATAAAAACAAGCTGACGGTTATTTTGTGTGAGGAAGATAATTTTAGGTTAAATTTCCATGTGAGGCTTAGAATAATATATGTTTCAAGAGATGCATGTTATATGTAACTACAGCTCCTCTTTCTGCAAGATAAATACCTAGGAAATGAAATTGGTGAGTGTGCCAGCACTTATCTGATGTTACTGTTCATATAGCTCACCTGTGGGGTGTTGCTCCAATGCAGATTCCAGATCAGCAGGTCTGGGGGGTCTGGGGTAGACGCTGAGAGATTCTGCATTTCTGACGGCTCCCCGCTGTGATCTGTGTCATATGCCTGGAGTCCAAGACGGGGGTGGGGGAGTGGGGGTTACTTGTCTTGAGGAATGATTAGGCACTCTAGAAGATGTTAAACCGTCCCGGATCTGTGGCTTTTGGCAAATCTTATTTAATCTTTCTGATTAAATACATCCACAAAAAAGGTTGAGGGGGTTTTGTGTGTAGATACATTTCTACTTCCTGTGTTGTTTGTGTCCGAGCATTTATTTAGCCCTTGGAAAGCCATCGCCAATTTTGAGCAAGATTCTGCTAGGACAGCAGATCTAAAGTGAAGGCTGAAAGAGGATGAAAGATAAAAATAGTTTGAATATTTTCTGTCACTTCTGAAAGGTCAGTGATCACATGTGTATTTCATGTGGGTATGCGATTCTCGCAACCCCATTCCATCCTTATCAGTCGCCAATCAGCAATATTTATTGCCAGCTCTCTGTGGAACGCAATTCTGTTTCCCCAAAATGCCTCTGCTTGCCTCCTGCCGCTCTAAATTCCGTTGTGTCAGAAGCAAACCTTGAGGAGGCCTCAGTCCCACTGGGATCAGAGAAAGGCAACCTGGAGCCAGACTGAGTTCAAGGCCAGCTCCACCCCTGACAGACTTTGGAGAACTCACTCAGGCTTGCTCAGCCTCCATTTTCTCATCTGTAAAATGGAGCTGATTATAATGACCCAGCTCGGAGCATCTTTGGGAGGATTAAATTGGTTAAAATGTAGAAAGAACTTAAAATAATTCCTGACACAGAGTTTGCCCTCTGTTAAAGTGATTACTGCATTTACTCCTTGCTATAGCTGAGGGCAGTATTCAGTACTATACAGATAGAATCTGAAGAATCTTCCTTCTGATGGCCAGACTGTGTATTCATATATTGAGTGATAGCCACATTTCTAAAAAAATGTAGTTTCCAAAGGGGTTTGCTAGATGTCTGATCTAATTCACCCAAATCTTGCTTTCCACTGTGCCCCCAGCACCTGAACCACTGCCTGGTACAGAAAGATGATCAAGAAATATTTTCAAATAACTACATGAAATCATTAAAATGTAAATGCATGCTGGAAGAAGAGGAAGTAGGGTAAAGTAGTAAGAAAATCAACAACATGGGGATTAGGAAAGATTGAAATAAGCTTAATGTGAGTTTACTCAAAATAAAAATTAGTTGAACTGTATTTTTCAATAGAATCAACTGTTTCAGGGATTAGGAAGTAGGGAAATAAAAACCAGATAGGTATGTTTTTTAAAGGTGGACGCTGGGCTTGTTTTGCAAGACCCACAGTTTTCTATGCAGAATCCTTCAGATCAGGCAGTGGGAACAATGATGACCAGAGTCAGGAGGGTTCTGCTTCCTCTTGGGAGGTCCACAGGCAGGTGTCTTGTCTGCTTTAGCTTCTTCCAGGTGGCTTTCTCAGGGCACGGCTGATGTCCAGGACGTGAGACTGTTCTCAGTATTTCTCTTTATTTCTACTTTTGAAAGATAGAAATGTTGACATACTTAAAGCATCAAGTTAAACCAGAAAATTGAGGGGAAAAAAAAACCAGACCTGGAGCCAGCGCTGTGGCATAGCAGGTAAAGCCGCCGCCTGCAGTACCAGCATCCCATATGGGCACTGGTTCAAGTCCCGGCTGCTCCACTTCTGATCCAGCTCTCTGCTATGGCCTGGGAAAGC